TAAGCACTTATAAGCTAGACATGTGTTGTCTGAGGCCTTTCAACTGTATTTGAGTCTTTCATTCTGAGTAATGGTGAAGGTTCTTCTCCAAGCAAAGGAAAGAAAGAAGAGGCTCACTTAAACTGTGTTTATTTGAGCGGTAGAGAGGAAGAAAAAAGCACTAACTTTGTAGTGCTTTGGATTGTGTATTCTCTTAAATTAAAAATTCATTTGCTTAACATGCTGCTTATGAGTGAGAATGAGAAAGTCTTCCACGGTTTTTACTCTTCTAATAAAGTAAAATTTTAATAGAAAAAACAAAATAGAAATAGAAAAATATAATTAAATTTATCTTGTGCTGTTATTGGTCTCTAAATTATTCATATCTAATTACATACCATCTTTCCCCTGAGAAGAAACAACCAAATTATATTTAGAATTTGGGAGAGGGCTGCCAAAAATGAAGCATGCCTGCTGCGATTTCTCTTCTTTTTCTTTTGTTAAAAAATCTGTTTTTATTTATTTTAGGGAGAGAGATGAAGTGAGAGGGAGAGAGAGGAACATTGATGTGAGAGAAGGACATCGATCAGCTGCCTCCTGCATGCCCTCCACTGGGGATGGAGCCCACAACCTGGGCATGTGCCCTGACTGGGAATCGAAACGAAGACCTTTTGGTGCATCAGACAATGCTCATCCAACTGAGCCACACCGTCCAGGGCCCTGCTGTGATTTCTGTGTTATGTTTGCGTGGTAGACATAGCAGTTGATTTCAGCTTTGTCTCCCAGGGGTGTTTTCTGGACAGCCACTCACTCAATCAGGTGGGTCCCCAATGTGAAATCACTGCCCTCCCTGGTCTAGGAGGAAATAACAAGCTTTGAAAGGACTGGCCATACAAGTACAAACTTGTGAAGTGGGAGTTTGCCAGGCCTTGCAGAATTATTTCAACTTCAATCTTCCCTTCCTCAGCCTCGCTTCTTCTTTTTGTTAAAATATATTTTATTGATTTTTTTTTACAGAGAAGAAGGGAGAGGTATAGGAGAGGGATATAGAGTTAGAAACATCAATCAGCTGCCTCCTGCACACTCCCCACTGGGTATGTGCCCGCAACCAAGGTACATGCCCTTGACCGGAATCGAACCTGGGACCCTTGAGTCCGCAGGCCGACGCTCTTTCCACTGAGCCAAACCGGTTAGGGCAGCCTCGTTTCTTATGCTCATTCCTTTCTACTCTTTGAACACCTATATCAGTGTAGTTTTTCTGGAGAGGAAGCCACTGGCAGTAAACACATCGGAGTTTGAGTCTTGCTATACCAGAATGCTTGTGAATAAGGGAAAGGTGCTCTCACTTCCCCTAATATTCTTCTGATTGTCATTGGGTTAATGCTACAAAGATTCTTGCCTTACTGTACTTAGATTTAATTAAATGTTTAGAGCCATAACCTTACAAGTGTAATTTGCATATTTTTTCCTGTAGATACTTTACTTACAAGGATAGCATAGTTAAGTTGCTCGTTAACTAGTCCTAGAAGGAACTCGTATTGCATCTTCACAGCTTGTGTCCACTAAAATTCAACCTGCCGCTTTTACTGTGCCTTCCAGGTGGACAGTGTAAAGACATCTCATTAGCAGTTATCTAATCTATGCAGAGTCCATCCGGACCTGTTTTGGTTTCCTGTCCTCAAGTCACTGGCGAACAAGACACTTTCCCATCTCACTGGGGGAAGAGTGTCAATATCCTTTACCCAGGACTTAACAAAAGTAACTTGAAACCAGAAAATAGTGAAAGAATCATTATGTGATTTGGACTGAAAGGAGATTTGGTTGCTTTCATCAGTAAGCCAGGACTCTCCCTTTGCTATCCAACAGGCATGATTTGGAAACCTTTTCTACTTCCTCACAATGTGAATTGGATAAGTTTTGACCTTGGACAATTTTGCAACTTTGGACAAGTTATGTAACTTCTTTGGGCCAAATGTCTGCATTTGAGAAGTTGGGGATACTAACCCTACTTCCTTTGCAGGGTTTGATGGGATTAAATGTAAAGAATTTCATGCTACCTGACCATTATAGTTATTGTCATGGACATATTATTTTTGATGTGATAATGAGGATGCAGGAAGGCCTTTTTAGCCACATGCCTTTTAGTCGGTACATCAGATAGAGTCTTATGTCAACTTATTCAGATATTTTATTTCCTCTCCCTCTCAAGTAGCAGTATGGAAAGTTCTCTTTTTTAACTGTATTCTCATTTTGGCCCCTGCTTTTGGAAAGCATTAATGATAGAATTAACTATTTTTGCAGGTTGGCATGCCATTTGAAGGTGGCATTATCATAGGTTCCTCAATGATTTGCTGTTTAATTTTCCTCTCTGCATCTGTGACTTTCTCTGAGGGACATCATGTTCTTTTGATTTCCCCCACTGCAGTGTGCGCATACAGAGCAATAAAACAAGTTAACATGTCAGAAAATCAGACCTTGTGAAGGGTAAGGATTTCTTTTAACCGTTTCCTTTGACCTACAGAAAGATAAGATACAAGTGACAAAACCTTCAGTTTTTTGCTAATTCAGAACACTTTGTGGACCCTGCATTACTTGGTTCTTTTCCTTTAAATCATTCATTGGTGGGAACAATACAGTCAGTATATTCTGTATCTAAGTACAATGGCCTCTTTTCTGTGAACATTTTCCTTTTTGTTTTTGGTGTCGCTCATCCTACATAGAAGCTGAAAAGAGGAGCAGGGTTGCCTCCTCTACTCACTGTTGAACTTTGGGTTCCATACTTAAGTTTTGAAACGTAATCTCCGTATCTGTCTGTGGACTTTATAGCAATTGGGAGATCAAATGAGATGATGATGCACCAGTAACTTAGTTTAGCTTCCAGCACATATTGACTTGGTTATTATCTTTATTTTATATGTGTTTTTGTACCTACAGGAAGGAGGTCCAAACTCCCTCTGACCTCCTCCCCTCTTCCCTCTGCTCCCCTTCCCCCATCTCACCCTCAGCAGTACATTCATCCTGGACACACCTTTCCCTTCTATTTATAGCACAAACCAGCTTCTCTATCCTACAGTCTCTGGAAAACTTGCAGGTTGACCTCAACCATCTAACCAGACAAAGCACCTTCCTAAGACACATCCACATCTTTCTGAAATAACGTCCCCTTCCACTCAGTGACTACCTGCTTCTCTCTCTCTAAAGCATTTTATTTGGGTCCAGATATTGGGACTCTCAGACTGTCAGAGAGATCCCTGAAAAATAATGCCTTTTCCTACAGGCAAAACTAGTGTGTGGTATTCGAAGTCAGGGCAGTGGTGTCCTTTGGGGAACAGTGGTGGCCACACATATGTGTTCACTTTAGGAAATTAAGGAAGCCAGCCAAGGTTTCTGTGTTTTACTGTCTGTCTGTAATACATCCATTAATACAAATGTTTCATAATTTTTAAGGGAACTACTGTTTCTGCAGATATCATAATTCACATATATATTTTACAAATACAGTCACATGCTGCATAACACGTTTCAGGTGGACTGTGTATAGGATGGTGGTCTCATAAGATTATAATGGAGGTGGATTCCTTTTGCCCAGTGAGGTGGTAACCATTCTAATGTTTTAGGAAAATTACTGTTTTGTGCCATCTCAGTGTATTAACAATCTCTACAAATGCCTGAGGGCACTCCCTTGGGCCCAGTGAGCTTCCCACTGACACCCCCCTTCCTAAACCAGGGTTACAACTGAACTGACCCTTGTGATTATTACATTGCAAGACACCCTTTGGCAATAACCATTAGGAAACGTTGAGAAAAAAGTGTTTCTTACTTGAGCCCTGGAGCCACAAAGCCCCCCAGGGGGTACACAGCTAGGTTGAGGTTAGAGAGAGTACTTGGGCTTGAGGTTCTGCTTTTATTGAGGTAGGAGGGTGGGGTCTGGGGTTTCATAGCTCCCTCTTTACTGGTCAATCTAAAACATAACAGGAGGAGTTAAAGCTCAGGAAGAGAAAGAAACAAAAGTATTTCAAATGGTCAGTTATCTAAATCATCCAAGATCTCTAAAACAAAGGAGGTGGCCTGGTTCGCTATCTAGTCCTGTGGCCTGTGGCTGCAATGTGTTGATCCGAGATAGCCTCCCTTGAAGGGATGCCTCTCTGAAGTGGAGGCCTGGGCCAGGCCATCAAAGCTTAAATCTGACACTTGCATGCCAAAAGACAAGCCAGCTGCCAGGGATTACACCACAATCACTCCTGTTTGTGGTGGTGCTGGTGTAAACACACCTACTGTGTTGCCAGCCCTATAAAGTACAGTGCACACAATTACAGTACAGTCCATATGGCCTAGGTTTTCTAAGTGCACCCTGTGACATTTGCAAATGATGCATATCTCAGAACATGTCCCTGTTGTTAAGTGGCACATGACTCAATATTCACATACATGTTTTCAAAGGGTCATATTTCATTTTTAGTTGAGGATGTCTTTCATGAAAGTAAATGAGGAAGCATTTCTAAGCCTTTAAGGTGATGTGGGTTAAAGTCTATAAGCTCTTGGGTCATACATATATGTATGGAATATGGACTCTAGTTGTTCCACTTGTTCTTGTGTTCTGGTAAAAACGAAAATGTACACATGTTGCTATCCCTTTCACCCTACAGTTTTAATTCTTATAGTTTGAAAAATGTGCTTTCTTGCTTCTTTATCTTTCTCTATATTGTCAATTAACAGTTATTTACCTGAACGGATGAGAGATAATTGATAAGTACATGCTTTTAAAACTCATGTTATACTATTAGATGTACTTGGTGTGCAGTTTTTTATTGGCATTATAGGCACATGCTTGGTTCTGCTTTGGTTTGCCTAGTAAACCTTAGTCTGAATACCATGGCAGTCAGAAATTATCTGGGAAGTGGGAAACATTACTTTTTGCAATGGATAGAGAACAAGAAGTGAAAAATAGCTGCCTTGGATTTTAGGTTTTTTTTCTTATTACTTGAAGAAAGAACTTTAATTTACTTATTATTTTCTCCTAGATTGGAAAGAAGGCTAATGAAGAAAAGTAACATGAATCAGGTAAATGGATTTTAAATTTCTTTATGTACTCTTGATGCTTGGTTTATATTTCCTGTGTTTCCTACTGCAAAGAACCGAACAGTTTTTGTGGCCAACTTACAAGGAATGGTTTGGGGATATAGATGTAATAATCAAACATATTTATATGATTTAATTAATTTTGTATGTGTATTTAATCACACATTTATATAGAACAATATTAAAACTAATGCATTTTTCTACCTCAGAATAATTTTTTCTAACTCTTTATATACATATTTGATGTTTTTATTATTTCTATGCAGATGAACATTGAAGATCTCCACTGTGTGACAATTTGTAGATTTGCTTTGTTAAATCTTCCTTCTTTCCTTCCTTCCTTCCATTTATTCACTTATTTTATTTTGAGGTAATTGCATGCACACTGTTTAAAATTAAAATAATACTATTATAGCCATTCCCTGTTTGTTTTATACTCCCATTACTCCTTTGCCCAAAGATAGCACTTTTCAACTCTTAGTTATATTTTCTGGTGTTCGCTTACCTATTTCTAAACAATACAGTGTAGGCTTTAAGTGCCATTTATTGATTTCTGTTTAAATTTTAGACTGATATATTATTGATTCTCTGCTGAGGACTTACCTCTCATATACAACCCTTTCCTCTCAGTACACACCTACTCTTACTGTCTCCCATTCTCTGGGTGCAGTCATGATGCAGTCTGTGGTTAAATACATATTTAATGTTTACTTTATTATGACTATATTTTGTTCATGACTGAACTTTGTGATACTTATGTTGAACCGACTCAGGCCATTCTGCTTCACAATTCGTTGTGTATTAGCTGTTTCATTTTTCTGGAAAATTTTTTACTCTTTTCTTTATCCCCATGTATGGTTTTTTGATGCTTGCAGCAATCCTTTCAATTCAGAAACTCATGTTCTTCAATTTGGGAAATTTTCTTGTAATATTTTAAAAATAATTTTCTTTTCATCTTATTCACTCTTTTCTGCAAGTCGGTCTGTTGTATATTTGGACCTACTGGTTTAACTCTCTAATTTTTTTATGTCTTTTTCTTAGCTATTTTTCATCTCTGCATTTTTTGTGTAAGTGTATTGTTAATCCTCACCGGAGGATATTTTTCCATTGATGTTTAGGGAGAGTGGAAGAGAGAGGAAAGGCAGAGAGACATCAATGTGAGACAAATATCGATGTGAAAGAAACACATTGATTGGTTGCCTCTTGCACCCAGGGCCCAGGCCAGGGAGGAGCCTGCTACCAAGTACATACCCTTGACCGGAATCAAACCCCAGGACCCTTTGTTCCTCAGGCTGATGCTCTATCCACTGAGCTAAACTGGCAAGGGCCATCTCTTTGCATTTTTGTTCTAGTTTGTGAGAGGTTTTCTTAGTGTTTCTTGGACTTTTAATTTCTGCTAGGATATCTGTAATTTCAAATTAATTTTTAAAATTTGTCTCTGAATATTTTTCTTTTTAAAAACAGGACTGTTCTTAGAGTATTATTGCTATAAGCACAATTGTGGCCACATCTTTTTGGAACAGATTCAAATTATTTGCTTTACATGGCCAATAGAATGCTCCTAGATTTATACACCATTTTCTTTACCAACCATGTTAGCTTCCCTGGGCAATATTTTGAATAAATGACTAAAATGGAAGTAAAAAATAAAATAGGACCGTTCTTATTTCATGGATGCAATATTTTCTCGTTTCCTTTGAGAATCTGAATTGAATTATTTTGCTGTCTTCTTGTGCTCTTCGCATTTTTTCCTTTGTGTTTCCTCTTTCTATCAGCTTGTTTTGGTCCCTGATTTTAATGGTAGAAGATTTCTCAAATGAATGGTGAAGCTTTAGTTTTCTGTTTATATTTAGAAATTTGTTACCTAGTGGGCTTCACTGGAATGTTTTTGGGCAGGGACCTGGCCATTTGAATTGGTGACTCCTAGACCTCAGAATCTGCAGGTCTTTTTTCCTTAGATCTTTCAGTTTCTCCAAAAGGCTAAAACCCTGCCTGTGGGGATTTGGTGGTGGT